AATACCATTTCTAAAGAACATTTCTTCCTCTCCTAGCCATGTGGTGAATGGCCTCTCAGCTTAGAAACCCCAAAGCCAAATGCAGAAAAAGACTGTATTGCACAGGAACTGTTATAAAAGAGCTCTCTGAACACAAAAACTGTGCTCTAAGGCAGTGCTGAATGAAAAACTAAAGAGCTGGCACATTGCCCATCAATCCCTTACATTATCTGCCCAAAACTGATACTCATTGAGAGGATGCAATTTACAGTTACTGTACAACTTACAACACATAGATAGGAGATGCCACAGACTGTAGAGTAAGAAAAAACACTGAAATAAAAGACTTGTCACACAGATGCAGCAGGGAAAGAAATCTGCACATCACAAAATAAAACATGAAGAAATTCCAACACTCAGAATCATTCCTCTAAAAGGCAGAAGGAACAACAGCCAATTTCATATGTAGTGCAGCATCACAGCCAATGGTCAGATGTCATGAAGAGTAGACAACTTCTAGCATGGGATGAACTAAAACAAACCTGCTGCAACACCAGTTTCACTGTCGAGGAAGTGGAATTTCCTCACTGGTGTATCAGCAAGAGTTGTGTACTAAACATCAGCTGTCAAGGCAAGTTGGTGGGGAAAGCCAAATGACTGCCAGTGTGCTGAGAGCAGCCCAAGAGGCTGGCAGATGTAATGGTGGAGATGTCTCAGAGCACTGAAGTGAAGAGGACCTATAAGTTTCCTATCTTTCCTAGAGTGCCCAAGAACCATCAGCATAGTAACTGTTCTTCAGCATAACAGGGGAACTCTTAAATAATGGAGAACTCAAAATAATGAAGAACAGCATCAGACAGAATATGCACCCACAATAATTTAATGATGAGCATTCAAATTAGAAGCTGCTTCTACTCTCCACACTACTGCTTGCCAGAGAAACACACTGCCACTTCATTTACCTCATCCCTTTCCACCTCAACTCTTAGAATAGTTTCAGATCGTCACTACAGAAATACCTATTGTGATTGAGCAGAATAAAGTCGTCATTTATGTATTTCATGCAGTTCCTGGGCTTCTCTGAAGGAGAGAAAGGCACTAGAGCATAAAGGATATCAAAAGCTCCTGCTTCACTGCCACAGGCACCACAGCTTACCTACATCCTTGTTCTAGTACTCCCATATTTGTATCCAAGTCAACTCCCTCCAAGATATGCTGTCATCAGCCTCTACAGCTATTCTGATGACTGAAAACCACACAGTACCATGGTAAAAACTTCTCCAGATGGAGCTAAGTGTTATGTCTTTTACCCTTCCACTCCATTTTCTGCCAGACACCAATACCAGCAAGCTCTCAGTACTTGCTCCTATTATTGACTGTCTCAGTCTCACCTGCCATTCTCTTACTCAGAGAACCAGCTGAATTGATAATTTCTTCTCATGCTTTCTCCATTTTCACCTATCTTTCCAGACAGATGGTGCTCATCTAATATCCCTTGCTGGGTAGGAGCTTCTCCATGGGAAAAGCAAACCAAGAGCCAAGGAAAACCCTAGCCCAGGCATTGTCCACACCAACCAGAGCACAGTCTCACAGGACCTACAAGCAGCAGGCAGCCAGATGCTGACAGCAGGCTCAACTGACAGCTCTGGATAGGATAGAAAGAACACGCAGGCTCAGCACTCCTCCAGAGAGCCCAGGATGCAGTAACAGGAGACAGGACCAAAACCAAGACTACAATATCAGTTCAAGTCATTCAGGAAACTTGGCTGGAGACAAAACACTCCAATCACACTCCAAACCTAACTTAAACAATGACAAATCAGGGCTCTTCTATGACAGATCAGACAAGTTCTGTGTGTCTTCATGGAATAAGATCTCTGCCAACTTTTCTGATTACAGTGAAGTCAATCCTAATTTAAATTATTATAATATGGGGTGACCGGCCCTAATGATTTTTTTGTTCTTATGCCTTGATTTTATCTTACACTGCTTTCATAATGTAATTTCACTTAGTTGTACTTTAAAAATGCATATGTAGAAAAAGCGTAGAAAATGTGAGGGCAGAGAGAGCAGACCCAGAGGATGTAACAGACAGTACCAAACTGCTTCTAAGACTGTTTGACTGACTCTAAATGTTGATTGGTGTGAAATAGCCTGATGTTTTTAGATCTGCTCCTCTGCAGTTTTCACAGCTTGTTTTGAGTGGCATCTAAAAGTCTCTAACTCTCCAAAATGTGAGTAAACAATAGTAAAACCTTAAAGGTCAGCATTTTCTAGCATGAGCTGTCTCCGTCAAGGTGAGAGGGAGGAAAGAGAAGGTTGTCCCATTCCCTGGTGGGGAATTGGAAGGTGCTTCTTGCTGGAGCCTGACCCACATCCTGATGCTCATCTCCCACTCTCCAGGAAGCAAAGTCAGCACATGGAGCAATAGCACAAGACTTCTCAATGTATAATGGCCCTTGATGATGTTTGGGTCACCCTTAGCTCTCATAAGGTTTTCTGATAGGACCTCTTCAGTTCCCTTTCAGGAAGCAATCCCTTCCCTGAGCATTGCTCTCACCAGCACAACTAACCTTTGGTCCAGGGTACACTCTTGTCACAAGACTAAAATGAGACAGAGAGTGATGTCTCCAGTCGCCTGTGGGCCTAAGTTGCAAGCATGTCACTAAACATCTCAGGAATGAGACAAATGACAGCAGTCCCTGCATGGACCAGAATCCTTTTTTTGAAGTCAAATCCTGGGGTGATCCTCATCATCACTCCAGATTCTGGTTAAAAATACCTGACCTTATGAAACTTCACAGTTCTCTCTGGGCAGCCAGCCCTGCCCTGTCCAGCAAAACACCTGCTGAGGTTTACTGAGGACCAGGCAGTTCTGCCTGCCTTCATGTGTGCCTGCCCTTGATCTGATGGCCCCCTGATATTGGCTCTTCATATTTTTAATCTTCTCCTACAGCTTGATAACTTACTTGTTATGCACCCACACGGACACATGTGCTGACCTGCAAGAGGTGGGTATGGGGGGGCGGCAGATGGATGTGGATGTCTGCTCCCTCTGCTCGGGAGCTGCGGCAAAATGCTGTGGGGGTTCGTCCTGCAACCTCCCCTGTACTCTGGCTGCTGCTCTCCATCTCCATTGATGGACTTTGCTCTCCTCGGGAAGCAGTTGGGAGGATTGCTCTGCAGTACTGACACATCTCCCCGGATCCGCTGTTTATCAGGGCGGGGGGAAAAAACACTGCCGCAATATTGAGCACTTAATAAGTCAGTAAGTGATCAAATAATCAGCGCTCCTCCACGGAACAAAAACGGTCTCGTTCACCAGCGGGAGGCTGAGCCGCTGCCTCCGTACTCCGCCGCCCGCGGTGGTGAAAGAAAACCCTAGATGAATGGGAAGCTCGGGATTTCCCCGGCACTCGCCGCCTCGCAGCCCAGCGCAGCCCAGCGCAGCCCAGCACAGCCCAGCCGTGTGGGTCGGGACTGCGGAGCCTGCCGGGGCGGGGGCGCCGCTGTTGCTACTGCTGCTGCCTCCCTGCCTTTTCCGCGCCTCTCCGCGGCTGCGGGCCGGCTGCTCGCCACACCCGCCTCCCTTACGTAACTGTTGGTCACACTTTGGTTATCCCTCACCTCGGACTGCCGCTGGATACAGCACCGTGGCCGCTGGGCAGCTGAGCGCAGGCTGCAGTCGCAGGGGCCCCTCCCGCCCCGCGCAGATCCCGCAGGGACGCTGCCTGCGCAGCGCCCAATGAAGGCTGCGCTGCCGCAGGAGCTCAGCGCTCCCACCGCGGACTCCCCCATTTCCCGCTGCGCTGTCCCCCCTTTCACGCCGTGGACCGCGGACTCCCCCCTTTCCCTCCGCGGTTCTGGGTACTCCCAGTCGCAGCCTCCCCATAAGGGCTCCGGCCGGGATAGCGGTGCGCGGGGTCGCCCCTGGCCGCCAGCGCCGCTCCCAACCCTGCACTCCGCGGAGGACAGCGCGCACTGCCATTCGTACTCGCAGCCCATTATCCTGAATGGGAGAGTAATTCCCACGCCCAGTTTGCTCAGAGATTTTCAACAGCTCGAAACCACGTAAGCGAGAAGATTCAGCCAGAAGCAAATGCCAATGTTATTTTTTTTTATTATTATAATTTTTTTTTTACCGGAGCGCCCACCGCACGAGGCGGTGAAGGGATACCCCATTCATTGAATCGGGTCCTCCTCACGGCTGGGCAATGATTCCCTGTTCCCTCCGCGCTGCTTTTGGGGAACAGCGGAGCCAGACCTCACCGGGCTCGTAGGGGTGGCAAAGGGCATCCCCGCTACCTTTCTATCTTACCGGCGCAGCTCGTCCTAGCTGACAAAGGGACGGGGGAGGAAGGGCTGCAGGAGATGAAGGAGGGGGTGCGGGGGCGGTGTGTGTCCCCCCCGCCGCCCCCCTTGCTGTAACAGCACGTGGTGCTCCTGGGACGCGGGTCCTCAGACGCCCCCGTCCCCCCCGCTCAGCCAGCTCGGCTTCGCGAGGAGCTTTTTATAGCAGCCCCGACACGCTCCCCGATGGGAGGTTTCTCGCCGCGCTCACGTTACCGTGCGGGTGCGATGTTAAGCGAAGGAGAGGGAGGAGGGGAAGGGAGTCCGGCGAGCGCCTAATTAAGAGCCGGCGTTAACCAGGGTAGCTAAAAATAGCGCCAGGCGCTGCAAGCCACCCAGCCGCAGACAGCAGCCCCCGCCGGTCCCTCTCGCGCCTGAATGGAGCGGCGCGCGCTGAATGGAGCGGCCGGGAGCATGAATGGGGAGCGGCGCGCGGCGCTGGCGGGGCGGGGCCGCGCCGCGCGGGGGCGCTGCGGGGCCGCGCGGCGCGGCGCGAGCCGGCGGCGGCGCACGTGCGGGCGCGGGGGCGGTCGGTGTCACCTGGCGGCAGCGGTGGCGGCGGGCGGGGCGGGGCGGCGGCCGGCGGAGCCTATAAAAGTGTCCCGCCGCGGCACATGCACACTTTGGGAAAACTTCCCGGCTCCAGCGGCCGCGGCGGCGGTGGTGGTGGCCATGGGAGGCGCTCCCGCCAGCCCCGCTCCGCCTTAGGGCGGGCAGCCCCGCGGCGGAGGGCGGCTGCGGCCGGACCCCCCGCCCCGACCTGCCCTGCCGGGAAGCAGCGCCAGCGAGCGGCTCCGCTCCGCCCGTACTCAGCTCTGCCCTGGGGGGCGGCGGCAGCAGGATGAGACTGAACGGGAGCGAGCTGAACAGCTCCGTCCTCCCGCGGGACCCGCCGGCCGAGGGTGCCCCGCGCCGCCAGCCCTGGGTGACCTCCACTTTGGCCGCCGTCCTCATCTTCACCATCGTGGTGGACCTGCTGGGCAATCTCCTGGTCGTTCTTTCCGTCTACCGCAATAAGAAGCTGCGAAACGCGGGTAAGGGGCAGTGGGGATGCCCGGGGGGCGCCGCCCGGGCTGGCATGGGGGAATTCGGGGCCCCGGGTCGCGGAGCTGTGGCTACTTCGTCTGCCCCTAAAACTTTCCCTGGGCGCGCAACTCCGGGGTTGGGCTCTGCTCGCATCCTCAGCTAGCGGTTATAGGCTGTGACAGATGCCAAGGGCTTCGTCTTCCTTGCCGAGTCGGTAATCGAGCGGGAAAGGGTATTTTTAGCTCCCGCCACCGAGTCGTGGTGCTATTTTTAGCTCTCGGCAGTTCCCACCTAGCAAAAGAGAATGGCAAGTAAGCCGTACTTGAGAATGAAATGTAGACACGATACCGGGGATGCTGCCGTAGCATACAGTGTGTGTCTGTGCATGCTGGATGCTATTCTTCTGATTGATTTTCTTTGAGTTACAGAAATGTCTCCAGTAACGAATGCTATGGTTGGAGCTTCCTTCAAATTAAGCAAATACATAATTATAAACATTGCAGGATTCAGGCAATGCCCTCATCCTGCTTTGTTCACCTCCTACTTGCTGTCTAGGTCTTGGGGGAATGGGAAATATCTAACGGAAAACAGCTTTAGGCACGTTTTTTGAAAAAGTAAAACTCTAATTTTGACAGGATAGAATCTGTGCTGGCCTATTGAGTAAATCCCTCTTAGTTCATGGATTATTGGTCAGACAGGCAGGAACTTCTTCAGATTCATTCTGCTTTATCATGTCAGACCAGCTGCTGCGCACGTGTACCAAATCTGTGCACTCTAAATCCTGTGCATCTTTCATTGAAAAAAAATACAGGAGCATGCGAAGAGAGCCGCACTGTTAATGAAAGCAGAATTTCACTCCATGACAACTGGGAAGATGCTTTTATTTTTTTTCACAACTCGGCTCTCAGGGTCTTCATTATTACTCCACTAAGGTCATTACCTAGTGGTTTAAAATTCATCTGAGGTGGAACTTGAGCCCAGGCTTTGCTGTAAGCTAGCCTAAGAAAGATAGCTAGTATTGGAAAACTAGCAAACACTGGCAAACAATGGCATGCTTAACTTTCTAAGGTTAATTCAGGTAATTCAAATGTATTGTACATTTCAGTTTTATTTAGCCACAGTGAAATGCCACACAGAAGATCAAAACAAAGAGTAACGAATTTTATTTTTTTTCTCCCTGTGGTTACCACTGTGGTTGTAAATTCGAAAAGCTATATTTGCTTCCTGCTTTCATTGACAAAAATCTCATTCACTGGAGCTGGCAGGGTTACACACTGCAATAGTGTGTAATTGAGAGGAGACTCAAACTCCGGAAGTCCAAGTCGGCACTTGACTACTCTTGTTCTCTGGGATATTTTCAGATGGAGGGAAGAGAGGGTTGAGACAGGCATATTGCTGGGGCTACACCAGGGGAAAGGGTGATATTCTTCTCCTCCTTAATTAGTAAATCTATTTACTATCTATTCAGCAATTCGGTGGGGAGTTTGCAAAACAAACATGTCTGGTAGTAAGTCTGAAATAAACGTGGTGCCTGCTTTTTGGAAACAACTGAATCATTGGGCTCTATGTGTGTGCATACTCTTTGCTGTACATCTCATTTAATCCCTCTTGAAACTCAACACGTGCTCACTTGCTCACTCTTACTGCATTTCTTGTTCTTGCCTTTTCTGTCATAGTGGCTGTTAAGAACTGCAGCAAACTGGCAACAGTAATCTCCTACAGCCAGGGGAATAGAGCATTCTTCTGAACATAAATTATTTGAGACTGGAACGTGAACTAGATAATGATTTACCCTCTTTAATTAAGGATTAATAAAAACAAGTAGATACTTGGTACTAGATGGTAAATAGTTCATAGTTGGTTTTTTTAGCAACAAAATAGCAAGCTTTAAATGTTAAGTTTTTTGTGTTTTTTGTTCTTTAAAATATGGGTGTTTTAGTACATGGATAAATAGAAACTTTGGAAATAACATAATTGATAAGATTCAAAAAGGTGTGCTAAGTGTTTTTGATTAATCCTGCAAAGTCCTATGCCTGGACATTACTTATGTGAGCACCACTATTAAAGTTGGCCTTCAGTTAAGAAGGGCTTACTCAGGCAAGTAAACTTAAGACAGGACATAAGTATTTAGAAAACTCTGGCATAATATTTGTATGTATGAAGACTGAAGTCTCCTAAATCTTGTTTACACTAATTCAGATTATTCAGGAAGGGATTATATCGAAAATAATCTGATTTATACATACAACTAACTTGTAATTTGGTAATGTCAAAGGCAGTTAGGACTTTCTGGAGAGATGTAATGAGAAAGGAAATTCTGGTTTTGCAACAACTTATAAGTCTTGCTGGTATATTTATTGAGGAAAAAAGACACAGGATGAAAATTCCACCGGAAAAAGGTCAGGGAGGAACAGAAGATACCTCCTGAAGAAAATGTATCTCACTGAAGATTTTCTTCCCTCTTTGCAAGAGAGGACTAACAGAAATAAGGAGTATTTTAACACTTTACCAAAAAGGTGGATTTGGTGGGGGAAAACATCTTGCATCTCTGTCCTACTCTCTATTGTATAAATATTTTTTGGAAGATAACTGCAAATTGAACCTGTGGACTTATGATTTTAAAAGTGCATTGGGGAGTAGTAGGAAGGCCTAGAAAAACCTCCTCAACAAGTGATGTAACCTTCCTTACAGTCAGAAGGTTAGTAAAAGACACTGATCAAAGCAGAGAAGTCAGTAACTCGAAGTTTGTCTCAGCAAGCGAGGAGTGTCTGATACTACAGACTCCTTCATAGGCACAAGCATGGCTTCAGTAGATGCTCTTCTAGACACAGAAGCTGATGATGCAACTGGTAGGATCCTCTTTTATTTAATGTACTTGACTTGTAATAAGTTTCATAGTTCTGGTCTGTTTTTTCTTTTATGATGGCTTTGTAATCTAAGAGGTGCCTGACACCAATTCAGTCCTGATGGGAACAGCTGCAATTTCATGCTGACCTACACAAAGACTGAATTTGGTTTATGATGTCTGTAATCTTTTAACTTTGACACAAAGTTCAAGGGAAACATTCAAGGCATAAGGATTTTAATGACTATATCTTGACAGCACATTCATACAGCATGAACTTTAAACTGATGTGCTTTCTTTAATAATTAATTTTTAAAAAGAATGAGGATAGCTCACTTTAAAAAAGTTTTGTGTAAATCATCCTAAGGTGTCTTGTTTTCCATTATTAATATTCATACATCAGAAATAAGGTCATTCAACAGTTCCAACCTGAAATGATGCAGTAACTATCATTAGGGAAGGTGGATTAAAGAACTACTGGTACTTTTAGCCATAAGTGTAGTTTTTACTTGAAACCATCAGCGTTTAAATAGAGCACCTCAGAAAACTGAAGAGATCATTTAAAGTGATTTATGTGATACTACACACAAACTTAGTGATTGCTGGTATCCTTATGCCTTTTTTGTTACCCACCCCAAGAAAAACAATGCATCAAGAACAAGGTGAGGGAGCAGTTCTATCTTTGACCATGGAGATTAGTTTACGAGTTGTGACATTAAAATGTCAGTTAGAATGCACCTGTCATTTTTGTGATGGTGGATTTGGGTAATAATTGCAGAATTGGACCATTCTTAAGGTCAATGAAGAAAGCTTTCTTGAGTGCTATCACACCTCTTGCTCTTCTTTTTCTTCCTTTTGAAACTGTTCTCTTGGCCTGGTGGGTTGCTTTTTCCTGGGCGCTTTATGTGCTGAGGTCCAGAGGTTCCCTCACTACCCCTCCAACAGAGCCCTGTGTGGGAAGGGAGCCTCCAGCAGGCAAGAAGAGTCCCAGCAGTTGCACCCTTGCCCTTCTGTGCCTGTTCTGTCCGCTGACATCTGACAGGGGTTGGGATAATACAGGGACTGGTGCCAGGCTGGTAACTAGCACCTACCACATTAGGGAAGAAAGCTACATTCACCCTTCTCACCTATCTCTGTTCTGTGCTAGGTGTATTTGGGGTTTTATACTTTTTCCCAGTTTTCTACGTCTTTGGCCCAAATGTTTTGTTGCTAAAACTCTTCGTTTTGTTAATAGTAAGGAAAACAGAGGGGATGTTTGATATTACTGAGGCCTCAGGGCCCTAGAGCAGCAGGATGCAGTTAATTTCACTAGGACTGCACACATGCTTAAACCTATGTATGTGTGGTAACTACTTTTCTGAATGAGATGGCAGTGAAAAAGGGAAAACTCCCAATGTTTGTATGCTCAATCTGCCTCACCTCTTTTAAGTCCAAGAGTTCTAGACACCCTGTGAGTGCAAACAAGAATAAACTCAAGAGTAATCTCCAAGATCAGTGAAGTTACTTTTGAAAGAACTAAGGAACACAGCTACTTATGATTTTTTTTTTTTTAAATCCGGTCTTTGCTAAATAAAACAGCCATTGCAGAATTGAGGATGGGAATCTATCAATAAGAATTTCATTTTGGAGGCTTTTCAAACAGGTCCTGGGTTTCAGTTTGGGCAGTGTAAGAATCCAGTTGAAGAGTGTTCCTCTCTTAGCACATTTTCTAGAATGTAAATTGCAGCTATCTCTTGATAGTCAGATTGGGGATATCATCAGTCTTTTCAGAAAAGTATTGTTCTTGATGATGTTTTGTTTTTTTAATTTTAAAATTACAATGTTAAATGCTATAGTAAAGATTGTTTTATCTAATAAATAAAACTCCTGTTGTGATTTCAGACTAATGGAGTCATTCTTTTTGTCACAGGTGATCCTTGGACTTCATTTTTGTGCCGAGAGACTGGGTAGCCCGAAAAATACTTGACTCAAGGAAAAGAACTTGTAGAAGATCAAGTTGTAGCACAAATTCAGGGTTCTGATAAAAACTGAGATGTTGAAGGCAATGAACATTATTTCAGAAATTAATAAGTTCCAGTATTAAAAATGGTAAGCTGTTTGGGAGAAGGGAAAATGTCTGGTGGAGATGCTGAACTTTGCCAATTGTTGAAAAGAACTGAGCATAAAAGTACAGTTTCAATAAAGTTGTTCCACAGATTGGTTTTGATTGAATACTTTACTGAATCAAGGGTTTACTTCAAAAATTTGTTTACATGGTGCTGGGCTGGTGACCAAAGGTAGAGATGATTATTTCAAATAATTAATAATTTATTCTTACTAATGTGTCTGTAAAACTCAGATATTGATTCCCTGTGCAAGATTCTGCATTTTGAAGTATTTAGAGGCATTTCTTTTTCTAGTTGTCTGCTGCTAGCAGGCAATGGTACTGATATGCTCTGCTATTTGCTGTCTCTTTCAGGTTATGTTTCTCAGGAGGGGTTCTCCCTTTTCTCGTAAAGTTTTTTTTTTGCATCTTGAATATTTTCATTAGCAATTTCTGAGCTGCTTCTACTCTTACCTCCTTTTTCTATTTCTTTTTACACTATCCACTCTTCCGTCATGTTATAACATAGATGTCTTTCTAGGGTAAGACATCATCACCAAGTCTAGGTTAGTGACAGAAAATACTACCAAGAATAGGCATCCACTGCTGATTTGACAATGTCTGTTCTGTTTCTACAGTGAGGCTTGCTTTCCTAGGGCAATAAAAACATTGCAGTGTCAATTCAATGCTATGCATCACAGTTTGGTTTTGCAACCTCAATAATAACTTGTCACCCTTGCTGTTGGCAGTTTTTCTTCTAGTCACATTTATGTGCTACCTCAAATCCCACATTTTCCGTTCCTAAGAAACAATTACCAACCTCTGTTTCAGAAGGACAGGTGTTACTCAGAATTCTCTAGGACAACAAAACAAAATTTTTTAACAAAGCAAACAGTGTTTGCTTCCTTAATGAACAAATAAACATGTATTTAACATGTGTAGTTAAGTAATCCTTGGGACTGTAATACAAATACTACTACTAAACAAGTATTCTTTCAAAATCTAGCCCTCCTGAAGTCACACAGATGGACAATATTACAGTTCATTGAGATAATCAAGGTTCATACCTAAATGACAGAATAAAGGTTTGATTATCCTATTTCTTTAAGATTGGATCAGACATACAAAGAAAACCTTACCAGTGCCCTTGAATTCAGATGGCAAACATGCTGCAACCTTCTTACTCTTTTCTTTTTCTCAGGTAGAACAGAAACTGAGGGTAATCAATAAATCTATTTACAACATTTAGATAGTGACTTTTGTAGCTTCTAAATAGCTTTGTGGTAATAACTGACCATTATGAGTGAAAAGTTTCATGTTCTGCTGTTCTTTTTTTAATGACATTTATCCATAAAGAGGAGGCAAACTTGATCCAGAAGTAAAAGACTCAGATCATTCTTTTAATTTTACAAATGATCTAGTATAGTAGCAGGCCATATAGTTACATATGATTTTTGGAGAAGAGGTATTAGATTACTGATGATCATAAAAATGCAGCTCTAGATTATCTCAGAGTCTTTCCTTGAGTCTGGGACTTGAACTTGGTTGTCTGGATTTTGGGCAGGGTGGTGGGTTGAGTTTTCTTGATTGTGGAGGATTCCTCATCTTTTCCATTGCTAGAGTTCCAAGAAAGTCTGTCAGTGATTCACTTCTCTACCCTAACTCCTAAAGACCCCTATTCTCTAAAATAAGAGAGAAAACAGAAGCAGCTGGTTTCAAACCCTTCTGTGTGACCAAGCACTTTTTTTTTTTGGGGTGCAGATGCAAGGCTAGCAAAACTAAGTTGCCTTGAGGGAGAGGTTACCAAGCAGAGGTACTCTGAGAGGTCAGCTCCATGGTTGGTATTGTTTGAGGTGAATCAATAACATTACTTTTTTAGTCAGCTAGTTCAGCTGCACTCAAGTATGAACCTACTGCAGTTACAGTGCAAATGTCAGAACTATGCTATGTTATTTAGCCAGGCAAGATGGCCAGCTCCATAGCATTGGACCAAAGTGATAGAACGGGCATGAGTACAGGGATCAGTTTTGAAAATTGGTACCCAGTCACAGCATGCAGAACTTACCCCCAGCTACCTATCTTTGTGTCCTGGAGAAAAATCATGAATATCCTTTTCCTCTTCAGTAGTGGCTATGGGGTTTATTTTATGTTTCTGTTTTTCAGACTAAGTGATGAACAGTTTTCTACTCCTTAGTCTTATTTGATTTTTAAGGACACATTCATCTCCCTGTCTGTGTTTGGGAGAAAAGAAGCATTTTCATTTTTGTAGGTGAGAGTATTCCTAGGCCAATACAGTTATGGTGTGATATTTTTATGTTAGGGTTACTAAAACGAAGGTACCTCTTTACATTAATTTTCCTCATTAACAGCCACTATTTGCTCCTTCAGTTTAACATCACAACATCACTTATAAAATGAAGAATTTTTATTTTTCTTTAGTACTCTTAGGGTATTTTTTAGGTAACATCATCCACAGGCTTATTTTGAGACTGGATATTATTGAAAATATGGGGCTTGGATATTATGAAGAGCCAGTTTCCATAAAGGCAAATGAATCATTTACTTCCAGTAGCAATTTTGTTTCATTTTGGATGAAGAATTAATGGTTTCTAAATAAAAAAAAAAAAAAAAAAAGTTTGTGTGTTTTACATTAATATGCTCTGTCTCAATTATATTAATTATTTACATTAAAGATATGTCTCCAGATTATCTCTGACTATGTAATGCTGAAGTCTACATTCTGTAATTTGAGTAGTGCAATGTGCTGTAATCCTGTGACTAACATGCAGGTTCACATAATTTTAACTTACATTTCATAACTTAGGTTCTTCCCCACGTTTCCATTTCATATTACATGTCTGAACCTTCCCTAAATTTCTGTTACTGAATTAATTCTCATTTAGGACACAGGATTGAAAGGAACCTTTTCAATCATTAAATCGAATTTCTAGGTGTTGTAGGTGTTTGTAGAATTGCCTTTCTCTATTCCAACTGAAGAAGATTGTTGAAACACTGGAACAGGTTGCACAGCAAGGTTGTGGATGGCCCATCCCTGAAAGTGTTCAAGGCCGGGTTGGATGGAGCTTTGAACAGCCTGGTATAGTGCAAGGTGTCCCTGCCCATGGTAGAGGGCTGGAATTAGGTGAGCTTAAAGTCCCTTCTAACCCAAACCATTCTATGGTTCTCATTGCCTAAATGTATTTTCTGTCAGTTTTATGTGCTTTTACCATTGTACCAATATTACATAGCGTTACTTAACAGCTCTCTGTTCTTGTAATAAGAATAAAAACATCACCTTTTGGTTGTCATTTTGGTAGCCAAAGAAAGGTTGATAGCAAAATCTATTAGTCCTTTTACCCAATAACTTTTCCCCTTTTGCAAAAGAACAACCACCTCCAGGAGTATGCTTGATCTATGGAAACAACTTCCCTAAAAGCGAAATCATGGTTTTACTGAAAACAACAGTAAATATTTTACCAAGGTCAGTGTTTGTCTCCCTTCACTTTTTCTGCCTTCAGTACTTTCTACTGAGTAAGAAGGCTGCTCTGCTGCTAACAGCCTTAAACCCCAAGTGCGGTAAGTAGAGAAATCTACCATAACTTTGGAGTCAGAACAGGATTTTTGTTGGATCACCAATATCCTTGCAAAAAAACTGATTACAGATCAGGATCAGAAGTGCCTGACCTGTATATCGTGAGGTGGGTGCATTATGAGAAGCTGCTTAGAATTTCATGTATAGTAGGTATGCAAGCTATTAATTCTGAAAACTCATACTTCAAGGACACACCTGGGAATAAAGAAAACACAGGAGACCATCAATGGTCATTACTGGAATGCTGTCCTTTGTGGGTTTCCAAATGAAAATTATGTTACTTAGGTCAAGGACAGTTTGCTTGTACTGGAGTTGTTTGGTCAGATCACATAAGTATATCCTTGATATTTTTTTCTTCTTTTTTCTAGGAACTTGCAGTTCTTTAATATGTCCATTAGGCAGAAAAAAATCTCAGAATTGGGGTTTTGCTACTGTAGCCTTATTGTACAGATTGTCTGGTGGTTCTGTTGCAGATTACATCCTCATATATATGTATGAATTTCCTTTGGAAATTTATCAATCCAATTATCTGTGACCACTAATTTATCAGCTCTCCTTTTGTTGTTTATTTTTTCATTCTTTTTCTTGTCTAAAGAACTGTATTGTTGATAATCACTGCAGTGCTTATAAATCCATCTTGTTCTCCATTTCTGATGATGTAACGCATTCCAACACCTGTCGCTAAGGATTTTCTTAGCACTGGCTGTGTCTTGTTTTGGCGATGTACAGAAACACACTTATATTAAAGCATGTGTAAATCCTACTGGTTTTTACCACATTGCAGAAGTTATTCAAACCAAAGGTTGTTTCATTTTGTATATAGTTTGGGTTCATGAATTTACAGATATAGATAACATCCATAAACATTTCCTCTAACTGAGTATTTTTGCAGAATGCACCTTTTCATTTAACTTTTTTTTTCCCCTAATACAGCATCCACTGGCTCTTGTTACTCATACTTTTGTATATTGCTTGTGAATATAGACATTTTTTTGAAATTAGCATTTCTCGTCTGGAGGAGAACAATACTCAGCATGCCTGATGGGAAGGAAGTACAGTAATTTTTCCCTACCTTTTGTCCACTTTGGCAGAGATAGTGGCTTTAGTCCTTAGGATAAATTAGAACAGTTTCAGTGTTTTTTGTAACTCATGCTTATGAGAAAGCTGCCAAAGGGATCTTTGTATCGGTGTCACGTAAATATAATTTTCATTGGCCAAACTCATTCTAACTGTTTGGGATGCAAATGTTCAGGACTACAGAGTTAACATAGTAATCCTCATCAAGCTGGGTAAAAGAGCTTTTTGTGTCCTCTCTATATTGGTAAGTATGGAGAAGACAGCATTTGTGTCATAGCATATATTAAATACCTAATGTAGAGCTCAAAATGCAGTCAGATTTTCTTGCTCTTGCAGCAAAGGTTTTTGATCTCTTTTTTTGGCAAATAATTGGACATTTCTTTTGCATCTTCTCTTACAAATTCGTCTACATACTACTGGGTTTTTTTGCAGCTCTTATGATTC